TCCTTCTTGAAAAGCTGCTCAGATAGCTAGCCCTGTTTTCTTTCTCTAAAAAAAAATAAATAAATAAGAAAACCCATATTCTCTGCAAATTTGGAAGATATTGTTTACATATATATGCTGTTCCTTCCTCTAAATTTACCCCTCTTTAGCTAAGATGAAATCTAGCAATAGATGTGGAAATGCACATAGAACTGTACATTTTTTTGTCTAGCACACGTGTCAGTGGTCAAATTGTGTTACAACAGAGGTATGCAAATTCCTCATGCTTTTGCCCTGACCACTATTACCACATTTCCTTTCCATGTCATGGCTGTCCTTCTTTCTTTTCAATTACAATATTTGCATTCTCCAACCTGTCCTCAGACCTGTTTGGATAATATTTTCTGCAAATAAAAGAATATATCCTTTGTTCAATAACTTCACACACAGAATGGCTTTCAACCAGTTGAAAAAAGCTGAATAGGTAGGGATTTGATGTATAAGAATTGTGGTGCAGGGTAAGAAGATGGAAATTTGTAGGCTTCAAATTGGGTATTCTTATTTTAACTGTAATTTAATTTGAGATTTTTGAGTCTACCTTTCACCCAGGGGATTCCTAACTACTTTATGATTTTTGAATATTTTAATTCCCCACTGTTGGGATGTAACTGGAAAATGTATCCCAGCAGCCTGCCAGGCACTAAGTATACCCACACCTTGGCTCAAGACTCTCAGGGGCTGGGCACTAGCTCTGAGGCTCCAGCTTTTCCACCACGTCAAAGGAGGCCCAGCTTGAGCTGCCCCAATGCAACTTAGTCAGAAGTCTCAGTACACTTAGTTCCTACAATTTCAGTTGTCTTGGTTATTCAAAAGCACCTCCTCTGCTTTCCTTTTTCTTAAAATGGATAGAAATCCTAGGTATTATTTTTAACATGTGTTTTTAGACCTTCTTGAATATTAATTAGGTAAACCTAATTCAAGATGTATTATTCAAGAATATAGCCTTAACTTTATGGTTTTTACAATGAGCTATGAGTGGATTGTTACTAAAACGCCCATTTAGACACACTTGTTCTTGTGAGTCAAGGACTTCTCAGTATGTTGAAGGCTGAATCCTTTAGTTTCACAAGTCTCCCCTCATTAATGATGATTGTCAATCTCTTTAATTACCAAAATGATCAGATATCTAAAAATCTAGGGAATATAGTATTTAGGACTATTTCCTTACCTACTCCTTCTCTGCTTCCCCAACACAAAGACTTATTTTTGAAAAGGTTATTATTTTCTTGACTCTTGGATCTTAAAAATACAACAAGTTCCAAACCTCATGCCCTATGTAATTGGTCTTGTGGCATCTTTGAACAATGATGCCATGTGTGTCTACAGAATCGTTCTATTGAAAGTTATTCTTTGAATCATAATGTGGCATAGTGGGTGTACTTAAAGCATCTTTTAGTGATCACTTTTATCAGCCAGCTACTCCACAAGTATTCCTTAATAAGCATATGGCTTAGGGGCATGGGGAATAAGCTAGCTAGTAGGGAACATCCCAAAATATGACATAAATAAAGAGCCTTCTAGTTTATCTCATGAGAGAGAATATAAGCAAAGTCAGACTATATAGCACTCTGTGGATAACAGCTAGTTTCTGAATGGAAACATGACATTCACATTGACTCTACAATCAGTTTCCTTTTTCATGGGCTATATCTTAGTTTGCATTCAAAATGTGTTGACTTTAAAGCCATCCATTATATTAGAGATACATAAAAATGATTTGTCTGTAGACATACATATTTTGCTTTAGGAAAATTCCTTGGCAAAGCTTATAGTGAGCTTCTAGTGGCTGCTGGCATTACTTAATGGTGGGTAATTAATTGCCTTGTGATAGAAAGAGTTTTTTTTTTCATTAAAAAATTTCTGATGTAGGAAAGGATTATAATAATGAGTGTTATGATCAACACCTATAGAAACATATCACTTTTTAAATCTCTTAAAGCTAATTACTTAGAGAAGTTTCAAATACATTTATATAGTTTATTTAAATATCCAAATGCACTAAAATGATGTGTAGTTTTTCATCTAAAACAGGCCTTTTAGAAAACCATCACACAAATACATACATACATACACACACAACGCACCCCATATGTACTTGTTCTAACAGAGGTAATTTCTTCTGGAACTTGGTAGAATTCTGGAATTTGTAAGTGGAGAAATAGAGTGCTACAAGAAGAGCGTTAGCTGGGGTTTTTGTTCCAGTTCTGCTAGTACTTACTTGTATTTGCTTGAGCAAGTTACTTAAACTGCTCTAAGCCTGTGTTCTCACTGGTCAAAGGGGGATAATAATACCTATTTTATAGAGTTGTGAGGATTTAATCAGGTTGCTTGTGTGCTAGTATGTGGTGAGTTAGGCATTAACCTTTATTCACCTTATCAACTAGATTTTCCTGTTCTTTTTGGAAGGAAGGAGCTAATGTTCATAAAACATTGTTCATAAAACCTTTCTTCTTTTGCATTTCTCCTTTTGAAGACTGTAAAGGAGAATCACGAGCAGAACAAGAACTGCACTTTTCTTCTTCTTTTTCTTTTTTGGCT